ACCCGACCAATAGTGGCGGTGAAAGGTTGTTCATCATCGGGTTTGGTTTTAGGGAGACATTTTTAGGTGTCTACACCAGCTGGATTCCAGCACACAATTTTTGGGCCCATAACATTTGTCATCTAGAAAAAACTCGGTTCTGCCCTCCTCTACGGGCTCCACAACGTAAGTGGGCTGACAGTCATAACAGGAGCGGTCACCAGGAGACTTAGTCATCATGCCCGATTGAACAGCTAGAGAAGGAGTCGGTGATGGAGTCTCAGTGCTGCCACCTCGCACTACATAATGGTCAAACCGATGCACGTCAGCCATGTTATTAAGCCAAGCAAAACTGTTTAAAGGCTGAACATGGGGAATGGGGCTAACAAGAGACACGTCAGGGGGATTAGCCTTGACAGTGTCAGCTAACATTTTATGGCCCATTGCGCGCATCCTCAAATGGGTGAGATGGGATAAAGGAATCCCATCCAGCATGAGCACCCGCTCGCAATATGGATCAAAGAAATCAGGACAGGGTTTGCGCTGGAAAGGGCAAAAAGCACTACCCTCAGCGGGATGACTACTGCCTGACCCAGACGCAGCAGCAAGAGTCGCAACAGTACCCATCCCGCTTGCTGTGGAGGGAAAGTCAGAAGGCATAACTGTTTGTACAGGAATAGGAGAAGAAGAAGGAGAAATAGGGGAAGTGTGCGCAGGGCGCTCACCTGAAAGAGAGGTTCGGGAAGGAGAATCCGATCCAGTGGCCGTTTGAGGCTCACTCATGTTCTCACTATCAGAAGCGTCAGAGATTTTGAAATCTATAAAGAAATACAAGCCCACAAAGAGAAGAAAAATCAATGGGGCACCGAAAATCTAAAGATCAGTTTAGGAAACAAGAACAACGAAGAAATAAGGAGAAAAAATCAAGAATGCAATTACAACAACAACAAGGAGAAGAAATTGAACAACGAAAGTTGGGAAGAATCAAAAGACACAATCTTGTGAAGGAAAAGCAAAAAGGAGAAAAATTGGGTAAATATAAACAACAAAAGGCACAAAGTAAGTACCATTAAGAGAAAAAGTTGCAGAAGCAATAGAGTACAACAACAATGGCGAACACAAAAGCCCGAGCGAGACGAGAGTTCAAATCTGCAATTGAGAAGAACAAAGGGGAAACAAGTCAGTAAGAGACAAGAATTAAGAAGGGAAAAACAATAAAAGTAGAAACTAAGGCAAAAACAAAGACGAGGAAGAAATAACTTACTACAACAATGGAGGAACACGAGCGTTTGGAAGAGAAAGGACAAAGAGCGAAAATTTTGAAATGACAAGAGTAATGAAGAAGGGAAGATGAAAGGTAAAAGGAGTAAAAAAAATAAGTGAAAAGGGGGGACAGTGAAATTAATACGGAATAAATGGGCGGTTAGACACAAGGCAAAACCAAACCGCCATGTCACTTCAGTAAAATCAAACTGACAGCCCGGATCGTCAACACATGTCCCATTCATGGAAATACGGTTCCCACCCTAAAAAAAAAACTTCAGCTGGAATGATCGAAATTCCTCTCCGCGAGCTCGTCATTTCTCAGATTTTAGCGGGAGTGATCGAAATTCCTCTTTACATGCTCGTCATTTCTCAAACTTAAGCGGGAGTGATTGAAATTCCTCTCTACATGCTCGTCGTTTCTCAAACTTCAGCGGGAGTGATCGAAATTCCTCTCCGCGAGCTTGTCATTTCTTAGAAACAGAATTATCTTTGACATACAGATAGTGCCACAACACAACTACCAAGAATAGAACCTGACCTCCCAAGTCTCTAGGCCGCATCAATACCCTAGAGACTTGAGGGGCTAGGAGTGTACAAGTTAATTCAGCCGGTCGATCCATTGAGCCACGACCGGTAAGGCTACACGCTCAGAACATCTGGCATGAATAAACCTCACGCCATCTCTTGAGGGGCTAGTTGTAGGGGATAGCTCCTGCTGAGCTATTCCTTCTAGCTAGGCTCAGTTAAGAAGACGGTACTTGCATATAAAGAGTCAACATGAGTGACCTCATACCACCTCTTGAAGGGCTAGTTGTATAGGATAGCTCCCGCTGAACTATCGCCCAGCCCCCAGGGTGCGCACTCACTGCCGAGAAGGCAATTAAAGAAGGCTCATTACCTTGGTGGAGTCAACCCGCAGGGCTGACCAAGCTGAACTCTCCATGAAGAAGATGGTACGCCTATAAATAGAGGGTAAAGTACAACGGAAAAGAGGTTAGACACTGAAGTTATTATACTATCTATATCTCTCTAAGTACACTTTCTCTCTCTAAACACTCTCTAACATAAGCTTCGGAGGGGGGTTCCTCGAGCCACCCCCGAGGGCAGTTTACGTGTGCTGCCTTGTGTAGGTTGTTGACGGGACCCAGCTTACCCAGCAGAACCCTTGGATCCATACCTGGAACAACTCGGGTTTTGGTCGGACCTCGCTAACCTCGAGGTAGCGGACCTAAAAGTCGTTAGTTGTTTTTGCGGGTGGATTTCTGTCGGAGGCTCTCGAGTTTTCGGGGCTAAGCTTTCGTGTAAGAGCCCAATTTGTGGGGCGAAGCACGCGACAAAGGTATATTTCCTATTTTGCCCTTTTGTGTTTATTTTATGCATTAGTGATATTATTTATTGTGAGCTTAATCCTTGGCTCGGGTTTTTTCCGCGGTGAGTGGGACTCACCAAACCCCAACAGCGGTATCGGAGCCCCGCTCGTTTATTTTTAATTACCATATTTTTCAACGTATTTTTATGGCTTAATTTTTCTGGTTTTAAGTTACTAATTAGATTGGTAGCTCGTATTATCCATTTTAACCTCGTATTAGAGCTGACTTTAGCTCCTAAACCCAGATTTCGACCCAAAAATAGTGAAATTTAGGTGGAAAAGTCGTTCTGGAAATGGTTTTTTTTCCTTTTAGGCTTGGTTTTTAGCCAAAAAAACGACCAGAAATTCAATTTTGGAAGGATTTTTCGTTTTTATGAAAAAATTTAAGTCTTTCGATCCTTGAAAATTAATTGCACATTTATGGTGGTTATGTAATTGGTTCAATACATATTTTATATGTAATTTTAAACCTCTTTAGGCATGATTACTTGGTGGTAATTTGTGTTTGAAAGCTTGGTTTTATTTTTCACATAATTGCAAATTAATCGCATTATGTGTGAATTATTTTGTTTTTGAGGCTTCTAAAGTGCTAAAGATTCAATCTTTAATTGTGTTAAGTGATTGAAACTTTAAAAGCTACAAAATTCCATGAATTTTATGTTGAACTTTGTTGTTTTAATCATTTTTGGTTGATTGGAAACATAAAGTTTCAACTTTGTGATAGAAATTTGTTTATCTTCATATTGGAAGATATAATTTTTTTCAAGGATTCACAATTGTTAGTAGTTGGATTTTTTCATTTGAACATTTTCATATTTTTCAACTCCTTCTTACTTTGTCAAAATCTCAAGATTAATTTAAATCGATTAAATTAATAATGAGAAATTGCCTTATTTATTTTGTTGCACCAAGTTAAACAAATTTAATTAAAGAATGGTTCTTGAGGATTATTTTGGTTGAATGCACCTTGATAAATTTTATATAAGTTAGACTTGTTTAAACTTTCAATTTTTTCTCATTTAATTAGTTCTAAAATTAATTTAGAATTACTAAATATGTCACGCGAAATTGGGATTGAAATCCCGAGGCTATGGCATGCAAAACGAGGCAAGAACATCACTTGGCTAGCCGGGCTGCATAGCAGCCCGCATGTGGCTGCCAAGGATGCTGCATGTACTTGCGCACAAGCCATGTGCGTGGCTGCTGCTTGCTGCCAGCAGCATGGCGTGCCAGCAAGCACCAAGCAGCAGCACGGCGCAACAACAACATGATGATGTGCGCGCTGTGCATGCTGCCTAGCTTGGCTGGTCGTGGCTGGTGCAAGCTTAAGCACCATGGTGCGTGGCTTGGGGCTTGGTGTGATAAGGCAAGAAGCCTTAGTGCGTGTGCCTCGCACCAAGCAACCCGTAGCAACACTACTAGGTGTAAGCCTAGCTAGTGCTACGAAGGGTGGTCGAGGAACATGCACCAAGCCGCATTGTCTGAGTTACTAGATGACTTTGGTTTTCATATGGCATGCGCCACTTGAGTGCTGTCGGCTTTGTGCTTGCTTGTTTTCCGTTTTATTTATTTTAATTAATCTTGTTTATTTTAATTAACATTTTTGAGGCTAGGCCTCGGTTTTGAGCGGCATTGGCAAAATTTATGATTTCAAATTTTGGGTTCTACCGGCTTAATTAATTGGATTAATTAATATGGATGCGGAATTTAGTGGGAGCTTCAATTATTAATTACGTCAATTACATAATCGGTTAAAAAACTTTGACTAGTTTTAATTAGGCGTGTGTAGGGAATATTTCAAGCGTTAATCCTCTAGCTTGAACCCCACTGTGATCATACACTAAAGTATGGTGGCGTCCAAAGGGAAAGAAGATAGAGCAAAAGAGTCGCCAACAAGTTTTAGGAACTTGTAAACCGTTCACAGGGTGAAGGTTACACTCCTTAACAATCCAAGAGATCGTCAACTCCAATAATGTCTTGAACCAAAATAGGGTTCGAGGATGAGGGTACAAATCCAACCTAAAAGAGATTGAACCACTACTACAAAAAATGCCTAAGAGACCTGTTAAAATAGGCCTAAGAGACCTTCTTAGAGGAGGTCTCTAGCTCACAAGTCTCTTTGGTAAAGAGACATGTTCAATAGAATAGGTTTCTTTGTGATTACTTAGAGACCTAATAAGTGTGACAACAGGTCTCTTTGAGCGTAATTAAAATACCAATTTAAGGAGAAAAACAGACCTGTTGTGTAACAGGACAGGTCTCTTTGGTGGGTACCAAAGAGACATGTTGTGTTACATAACAGGTCTCTTTCTTTCTTTCTTTTTTTAAAAAAAATTCCCATGATATATTTATCACGGGTATTAAATTTTGAAATATAATTATTTGAATTTTATTACTATACTATAATTGGCAAAAAAAAAAAAGTAAATTACAAAAGGAATCTTGTAAAGAAACTTACATAAACTTAATATTGAAGTTTACAATTATTAAATTACAACATGAACAGTACAAGTACAGAAACTTGTTAGAAATAATCTACAACTATGAACTTATTGAAATAATTAATAAGTAGTAGTTTACAAAATTTTACAAGCATAAACTCCATACATTATAGCATATACTCCATACATTAATAGTATAACTTGTAGACGTCAAAATCTGTCCAATGATATAAATTATGCAAATAAGTTAGTCAATTAAAACTTAAAAGAGAATAAGCAACTCAGGACAAATTTGTGAGGTAAAATTTAATCAACTAATAAGAACATAAGAAAATTACAAAGAGTAGCTCTGCACACGTATACCAAATGGATTCATGAGTGGTTCTAGTAGGTCACCAGTACGTAGGATCATAAGATGGGAACTGGACTGCTTTTTTAATCACACCATTATATCCTTTGAAAACCTATAAAGGGACAAATAAGGTGTTGTTTAACAAATAGTTATTAGATATAACTAGTAATAAGTGATTTGGAACAATAAAGTACTAATTTGGAGTGTAGATTAAAACAGCATTAATACACACATACAACTATACTAGTCAAGAACACCAAGTTATTATTAAAGCGAACATGTAACTCAGACTTGATGAAAGGGGGGTCTCGATTGTATGCTTTGTGGGCTAAGAAAAATAATAACTGCTTCATTGGTACCATTGCCAGCCATATACTAGCAATAAATTCATTCCTTAAACTTGGAACCACATAGTAAAATGACCTTAAAGCTGGTATACCACCTGGAACCTCCTTAGTGTGTCATCAATAGTGATATACCACCTAATCTTACAAGCTCTTCACAAATCTATATAGCTAGTTTAATATTCCACCCTATGATAGTTTGATGTCACCCCAATGATAATCATTATCTATTTTTTTCATTCTGTTACATACCAATATTTCCTCAAATTTTACAACACCACAATTATCTTTTCTTCATACTAATTAATCTGTACTTGCAAAAGATCAGTGCAAGTAGTAAAGACTTAAGACAAACTACGAATTTTACAGTATATGTGTCACAGAATATCAAAGTAAATAGAAAAATCAATGAGAAATCTTGGAACCTTTCAATAAACTAATGAAATGGAGGATTAAGGATGTTATAAGACAATTAAGGATGTTATAAGACAGTTAAGGATGTAGGTCGTAGAAAGATCAAGGAACTTCATTCATACTACAAAATTAAGGATTTATAATTGAGATAAGCAATGTAGCAGCTATACTCATTACACACAACAATCAAACAGAAAGAGCTAGAGTATAGACATATATCCTGGACAAGTGTACAGATATGATAGCATTCACATCAATGACAACAAATACAAGTATAAACATTTGAAAACCAATTGGGCAGATAAAATTTAACCAGCTCATAGAAGCATAAGAGAATTACGAAGAGTACCTCTCGGCGCAACGAATACCAGATGATTTAATGGGTGGTTCTAGTAGGATCATAAGATGGGAATCGGACTGCTTTTTCAATCACACCATTATATCCTTAGAAAAACTATAAAAGGACAATAAGGTGTTGTTTTACAAATACTCCATAAGTATTAGATATAACTAGTTTGGAGTCTAGATTTTAGTTGCATTAATATATATAAACATACAACTATATGAGTCTTGCTATAAAGTCTTTAACATTTGCCTAAAATCAATAATAATAAAACCACTATATTAGCAATCGAAGAACAATTCTAGGTTCACTATTGTGACTCCTAAAAACTCAACATTTACACAAATTTATAGTGAAAATATACTTCAATAATCTATTGAAAAAACAATTGATTATAAAGCATAGACAAATTTGTAATTAAATGATTATATTCCAAAAAAAAAACAAGTATAATGATAATGCAAAAATCGACACCATAAACAAAAACACTCAATGAAAAAGATGAGATAAAAGTACCAGCATTCAATATTAGATAATTTGGTTTAGTATTACCTCTGAATTAATTGAAGAAAATAAGATCACTTACATTGATGAAATGGGGAAATTTTAAAACTAGGGTTTAATAGAAAATGGAAACAAACCATAAAGAGCATTGTTATGGTGGCCAACGCGATTTGTCGGGGACAAATTCAAATTGCCTATATGCTTTTTTTCCTGAAACGACGTCTTGAAGGGCGGTGATGACAACGGAGATAGAAAGTGGCCTCTTAAAGTACGAATGAATTCCAGATCTGATGAAGAGCGACGATTATAGGTTGGAAGTATTGGGGCTTCTTGACTCCGCTTATGGCTAGAGCTAACTTTCGTAGTGCTTCTTGCAATAACGGAGGAAGAAAGTGGAAGAGGAAGACAGAGAAAGAGTTGAAATCAAAGGAAGGGGAATGCAGCGATTTAATTAAGGTGAGAAAAGGATAGAGCGAGAAAGAGGAGATGAAAGAATGAATGAGAAAGAGTGAGAGTCGATTTAAAAGAGTGTTGGGCCCCCACAAACATAAGAGACCTGTTATGATAAACAACAGGTCTCATATGTCCTTCCCTATTTCTCCTTTGAAAGCATGATAGGCTCTTTGACAAATAAGAGACCTATTATCTCAAATAGTAGGTCTCTTATATCAAAGAGACCTGTTATATCAGCCAACAGGTCTCTTATTACAGGTCTTTTTGGCTATTTTTGTAGTAGTGAACCTGCCCTTATAATAGGCCTCTACTTTATTCTGATTGTATTCATGTGCGCTTTCTGACTAACATACAATCAATAGGTTTACCCTAAACCTGTTAATCTATGTTGGTTGAATATTAATGCACAAATAAATCTATTATTGGCAATCACTTGAATTATAATCATATTAACCCTAAACAAGATTATTAATTATCTTATTAAGCGTGATTATAAGTACAAATTCCCTTTAAACATGCATAAAGAGGTGTGATCAAGCAATAACAATAAAAATAATCAAGCAACATAATATAAATAATCATAATAACCATAATTATCATAATAATCATGATAATCTTCATAATAACAAATTATAATAATCATGTTAAAGCATAACAATAGCAAGTTCCTAGGCATGAAACTAACAAGATTAATAACATACCCTAGCAGGTCACTAAGCATAAAGATCAAAGCTTTAACCCTAACATGATACTATTAGGAAAGACAATAAAAGGCATCATACTTTTAATCATACTTGATATTAAAGTTACCCTAGACATGATACTAGGAATATCATAATAACAACCTAAGCATGAACTCTATATCATAACATCAATGAAGTCCACTAAAATACTTACTTTGATGCCTCGTACCTCTTTCTAATGACAAAATACACACGTTAGTAACTTCAAGGAAAATAATAAACAAAACAATTAAATCAAATAATTGAAAGAGAGATTTGGGACCAAACTCTCAGAAATTAAACCTTTCACGTCTAGGGTGAAGGCAAATTCGAATATGGCTAGGTGCATCTAGATTTAATGAATGCGGAATTTTGTATTTGAGAAAGCTAGTTTAGAAAAGAGAGAGAGAGAATTGGTAGATTGTAGATGAATGTCGATGAATGAAAACGGAGTTTTTACGACGTTATTTATAAAGAAAATCAGCCAAAAAGATAAAATATCAAAACAGAGTTCTGGCGCACAAAAAATCTGATTAGCGCCAACGCTGGCTATTGGCGCCAAACGCCAACATTAGCGCCAGGCGCCAATGCTAGCGCCAGGCTCCATGCGTAGCGCCAGGCGCTACAACTGGCGTTTGGCGCTGATCTGGAAATTCACGCGTTTTCTTAAAATCAGATAAAATTTCCCGTACATGAGGATAAAATCGTATTTTTCTCAAAAAATGTTCTTTGATTTCAATTAAAACTCTAAAAAGTCAACAAAAGTCATTTTATCAATGCTAATTGGATTAGGAATGAAAAGAACCTTCTAGAAGAATCTAGAAGACTAAAACCATTCCTAATGCCCTCCCCTAGATCATTGGGCCGCATATAAGGCTCAAAACCGGGCCCAATTCAGTAAATTGGCCATAACTTCCTCAATATTCATCGGAATTAGGCTTATATTATATCGTCGGAAAGCTCTTGTCATGCCTCATCCAACTACACTACTATTGGACCCATATCATGGACAAACCAAACTAGATTGGCTGTTTTTCTTAAAATAAGTTTTCAAAAATAGAGAGAAGAGAAAAGAAATTAAAACTATACGCAACACTAAACTTTCCACACTTTAACTTCATTCGATTATGATTCGACGTGAAAGGTACTCATCATCGGGTTTGGTTTTGGGGAGACACAAATGAGTGTCTACAGAAGCCCCCACTTTAACTTAGTTTGGAGAAACGTAAGTTTCGAAAACAAAACACTACGTGAAAATATGAAATTTGCATCGGTTCAAACCCGGCCTAAGCCACCGGTTTGAACCGATGCCAATGTGGGGGGTGCCAAAAGTGGTTTAATAAGGCACCGGTTCAAACCGGTGCCAAAAATTGGAAATGGCACCGGTTTACCGGTGCCAAAAATGGCCAAGAAAAATTATTTTGTTGTTTTTGGCACCGGTTAACCGGTGCCAAAAATGCCCAAAAATATTTTTTTTTGTTTTGTTTTTTCCAGCAAATTTGCGACATATCAACAAGAATCGAAAATTTGCAATATATCAACAAGAATCGAAAATTTGCAACATATCAACAAGAATCGAAAATTTGCAATATATGATGAAAAAAAAATTACAACATATAAAAACTTTGATTACAGCATATAAAAGAAAAATTACAATATAAATTTAAAAAAAAAATTACAATATAAATTCAAAAAAAAAAAAAAAAAAATCATTCATTCTTGCTTGTATCTTGCTTCTTCGATTTCAGATCTAAATAACATACCTGCACCAATTAAAAAAAAAATCGATTAATATAATTAAACTTCGAAAGAAAAAGCCCAGAAATTTAATCCCAAAAATTGAAAAAAAATTCAAACCCAGAAAAAATTAAAACCCAGAAAAAAAAACTTGAAATCGAAAAAAAACAAATTTTCGAATAAACCCAGAAAACAAAAAAAATTGAAATCGAAAAGAACCAGAAAAAAAATTAAAATAAAAAAAACCAATGCAAAAATTAAAATTAGAATAAACCCGAAAATTGGAAAAAATTAAAATAAAAAAATCCAATGCAAAAAAATTAAATCGAATAAACCCAGAAATTGGAAAAAATTAAAATAAAAAAAACCAATGCAAAAAAAATTAAAAATCGAAAAAAAATTAAAATCGGTGTTCGAAAAACCCATAACCAAAAAAATAATTGAAATCGAAAATAAATCCGATTTAAATCTGAAAAAAAAATCAAAATTGAAATTGATTAAAATAAAATATATTAAAAATTCGATTCAAATTAAAATCGATTTAAATTTAAAAAAAAAACCCAAAAATTCGATTGAAATCAAAACAATAACCCAGAAATTTGATTGAAATCGATCTAACCAATAACCCAGAAAAAATAAAAGAATTTAAATCGATTAAAAAATAAATTAAAACATAAACCCAGAAAATTAAAACAAAACCCATAAATTCCCTCACAAATCGGTGTTGCATGTGGTCTTCAAAAACCCAGAAAATCGAGATGTTGCATGTTGCATGTGGTCTTCAAAAACCCAGAAAATCGAGATGTTGCATGTGTTCTTTGTGATTGTGAGGGAGAAGGAGATTGAAAAATTAAAGAGAATTAGAAGGAGAAGAAGAAGATCGAGAAAGATAAATAGAAATAAAACTGGTTCAGTTAGAGGAGAAGGAGATCGAGAACGGAGAAAGAGGAGGAGATGAGAGGAGAGAGAAAGAGAAAGAAGATGAGAGGAGTAGTTTTAGGGTTGGGGTGGATACGTGGGTTTTAAAGGACCGTTTTTTTTTTTTTTTTTTTTTTTTTTTTTTTTTTGGCTCTGGTTCAAAATGGCATCGGTTCAAACCGGTGGCCTATTTGTTTTTGGCATCGGTTTGAAGTGAACCGGTGCCTTTTACTCTGGTTCAGTTTCCCACCAATTTTGTAGGCCATTTTTGGCACCGGTTTGGACTGAACCGGTGCCAATTAGGGGGTGCCTTTTTGATATTTTCTACTAGTGAAAGTCAAAGTATCGATAGGGACGGAGAATGATTCAGAACGTTCTGCGATCCTAAATCACTCTTGTAATGCCGATACCTGCAAACTAGCGTTAGTCAAACAGATAAAAGAGTTAAGAAACGCGTATCTTGCACCGTCGAGCACACGTATCTGAAGGTAACCGATTTGTTGTCGCATTGCCGTTGTTTTGATGACCTCCTGCCTAGAGAATGCCATCCTGCTTAAAAACTGCTACGCTTGTAACTGCTTCCAATATTGAAGATTGCTTTGCTTGAAACGATCCTCCTCCGCTTTGATAATATTCCACGTCCAAGGGAATACTATCGAAGATTGCTTCGCTTGAAACAATCCTCTTCCGCTATGATAATATTCCACGTCCAAGCGAATACCATCGAAGATAACTTCGCTTGAAATCATCCCCTTCTGCTATGATAATACTCCACGTCCAAGGGAATACTATCGAAGATAACTTCGCTTGAAATCATCCCCTTCCGCTTTATGACCATCTTCCACGTCTAAGGGAACACGATCAAAGACAACTTCGCTTGAAATCACCTTCAGTTGCTTTTTGACAACTTTCCACAATCTATGAAATGCCGTCAAAGATATCCTCGCTTGAAGCTATCCTCATTTGTTGCGATAAATTTCCAAGGAAATTACCAAAGATCTCCGCTTATTGATCTTTAAAAGCTTGCTTGAACTTTGCTTCCGTTATGCCAGTACTTCGGCGCTCTTGTTGCTTTTGAACCTGTACGTTGGTGCCTTTTGCGAATGAACCACTATGTCGGTGCCTTTTGTTAATGAGCCAATGCTTAGGCGCTTTAAGCTAAGTGAGACGATCTTTCATCAAGTCGATCACTTTATGCAATCAAGTCGATTAAAAATCGTGTCAAATTGCTTTGAGGGGCTAACTGGCGTACCAAGGAACCCAAAACATATTGCAAAAAATTAGAACAACCTCACTGAGTGGCTAAACATTCTGGCGCCGCTGAAAACACATCAGCGCCACATAACAGGCTATAGCGCCAGACGCCAAGCCTATCTGTTGACGCCAAGGTCTATTGCTTGGCGCCAGAATAGGGTATTCTTTAAATACCCCTTTCTTCTTCATTTTCGCTGCTGCTCGGTTAGCTGCTCAGTATTCTGCCGAGCGTCGCTATTTCTTGGGGACTTATGGAGCGACTGCATACCTTGGAGAGAGGGTTGCTAGACAGCATTCCTCCGATATTTTTGTCGTTCCTGCTCCTCCACCACGTCACATGTTTAACGCCGCGAGGTTGTTGAGCATGTCAGAGGGAGCCGGTACCCCTTGGCGATCTTGCACGATCCTTGGGCGATGCTATGCGAAGGAGCTACGACCGTTGTTAGCTCCAGTCTTGTACCGGCTGAGGATGTGGCGGTACAACTTTTCAGCTTTTATCTTTCGATAAGTAGCCCCCAAGTAATGCTTTACTGACTTTGTTTTTCTTTATTAGGACGATGCTGCTGAGTACGTGCCACCCCGTATGTCTATCCATTACCAAGGGATATATGGGCCGATTGAGGCGATGATTCCTCCGGCTCCTGAGGACGAGCGCTTCGTAGAGCGGTCGATTCCACGCCACCAGACTCGGGTAAGCTTATTTATTTGCAACTTTTGTCCATATATTTCATGCATGTTTACTGACCTATTTCTTTGGCAGTTCTCGCGCGAGGTGGTTTCGGCGATAACACGATGTATAGATGCCTTCCAGAGCCAACTTGTCCGGATGAGGAACGTGGCTACCTGCCGTCGAGACGACGCCGTTCAGGAGGTAGTCTTTCTTTAATATGTTTTTGCACTACCGCTTCGATTTTTCCTTGTTTCTGATTTTAATTCTCTTTTGGAGGGTCAACATATTCCTTCTCGTACCCGCACGAGACCTGAGGTGCGGAGGGATCCAGCGAGGTCTAGCTCGCGACGTCGCCGTACTACTCGAGGAAGTAGGGGTGGTCATTCTGAGGTTGCCCGTACTGATATGGTAGAGGGCTCAGGTTCCTCCTCTAAGGGTGCTCATGTTGCGACGATATGCCAGGGAGAGGCTACCTCTTCTCTTAGAGGTGGTGGGATGTACGAGGTTGGCTCGTCATCGCAGCAGCCTCCGCAGCCTCAGCCACAGGTTGATCTTCGGTGGACTGGTCCCACGTTGAGTTTCCTCCTCCTGCGGAGACCATAGCTGATACCGGAGCTGGAGTAGGCGGAGAGGTTACTCCTCGTACGGCGGAGTTTTATGCGATGATGGGTTTACCTCCCCCGGCGCCGTAGTTTGTACATGTGCCTTTTATAATTTATTTGACTTTGTATAGAACTTTGCCTTTTAAATAGACTCATTTTTTAGACATACTTTGTATATACATAATATTATGAGTTTATTATTTATCATGTTTTTTCATTTTTTATTATTATCATTATTATCTGCATGTTTGTGTGTGCAAGAAAGTGTGACAAGTAATTTTACGCAAAAATTCCGTCATTTTTTTTAGTATTGATGGAGGGTATCCGACTTTCTCCCCTAAAAAGAAAAAATGAAAAAAGGAAGAATCAAATAAAATATTGGGTTTATAAAAACTTGGAAATTAAGCTAAATAAAATCTCAAACAAAAACAATAATATAATTAATATAATAGCTATATTAACAAGGAATAAAAATATGGTTAGAAAAAGATAAGGAAGCCGTAAAGTCAATGGCAGACTCGAATTAAGGTAGAAGCGCGGTTTTATAAAGCGCATACGACGAGGAAAATTGGCGCCAGCTGGCGCCACACGTATTGGTGTAGCGCCAGACGCTACACTTAGAGTTTGGTGCAAAGCTTTGGCGTCTGGCGCTAATAGCAGCGTCTGGCGCCAAATAGCGCTGACTCCGTATCCTTTTCAGATTAAAACTGCTCCGATTTCGTGCATAAATAGCCCCCTGCCCAGCCGATTCTTTTCATAAACTCAGCAAATAAAATAATTTTCAGCTTTAGAAAAATAATATCATGTCTCTAGTCACCAAAACTTTTACCTAATACACCCATGAATGGTGTCGGTATCTTAATGCCAAAGAAAGAAAAGAACTAGATGTGTTCCACTTAGGGGGAATTTATGGTATCAAAGGGGTAGATCTTGACTTAGATTTTATTCATACCGCTCTAGAATATTGGGATGTTGATACTCATTGCTTTAGAATAGGGTATGATGAAATTAGCCCTTTGCCGGGAGAATTTGGTGCTATTTTAGGTTTCCCTGCAATAGACCTCATAGTAGTCCCTAGAATAGATGCATATTATTATAAAGACTTTGAACGCTTCTTCAATTTAAAAGAAAGGGATTTATCAAAAATAGTAGATGGCAACATAGTTAACCTGAAAGAATTTGCTCGCCATTATTTTGATAAATCTCACTCCGAATCTTTTAATATTTATAGAAGAAGGGCTTTCTTATTTTGTATGCTTAATCAATTTTTCCTTAGTAGTGGTAAAAATAATGAGGGTCAATCAATTATAACCACCGTACTAGAACAAATTGAATCAGGGAGAAATCCAATGCCATTGATAGTTGGAGAGACTATGATTAGTCTTGATGAATTGAAAAGGAACCCAAAAGCACTGTTTCGAGGTTCTCCAATTTTATTACAAGTAGAAAAATAATATTTTTAATTACAGAAATAAAAAAAATATATTTTTTTATAGTAATAATAATTTATTTGCATTGTAATTTTTACAGATGTGGTCAATCGAAAGGCTAGAATTAATTAGCCCTCCGGACAACATTGAGAAGTACACTCCGAATTGTTTCGTGAGGAGGAAGAAACACTTCTCTAAAATGGGGCGCCATGAATGGAGAAGGGTCTTCAAATCTCGCAATTTTGCTATCAAGTGGGTCGTCCCGTGGTGGAAAATAGAAAGGATGGTTTCTGTCAATAAGCAACCTTTTTGCCGTCTTCCAAGTTTGTCCTGTATGACTTATTACTTTCCCTGCAGGGTAAAAAGACAATACGACCTTCTTCAGAATATTCCTTCCGGAGATCTTCGTCCTCCCTACGAGTACCCTGTTTCCCAGGAAGTAGACATATTTGATGTTTATTAGAGTGCCAGACCTCTATTGGAAGTAATTACCCAAAAGGTTCCTCCTTCTTTTCCCAATAATGTGAAGAAGTGGCTGCTGAAGAAACCTTCAAAGGACTTGAAGAAAAATCAGGGTAAAACTGATGTGAAGAGTCGTCTAGGTGCCAAGGTGGTTCCTGTTAGGGAACGCTTAGGTGAAAGAATTGAATTCAAAACACCTGCAATGCCTAGGAGGAAAAGTACTACACAAGATAAGGGGAAAAGGATAGCTGACACCACAGAGAAAAACGCTAGGGTAGAAAAGAAGAATGGAGTCCTAGGTGAAGGGGAAACTATCTACTCTAAGATTGAATGTAGGTCCACTAAAGGATGCCTACTACCTAAGGTTATGGATGAGGAGGAGGAGACAGACAAAAATTGGAAAAGGGCTAGGAAAGAAAAGGAAGATTAGGAGCATTGCTTAATTTCCAATTATTAGACTTAGTTTATATTTTTATTTAAAGTTAATTTATTTCAGCTTTATTAAAATTCCATCAATAATGTAATTTTATTTTATTAATGAAATTTCAGCTTTTAATTAATTATTTACTTAAAATTTAT